ATGGTTAACATAGCACCTCAGGTATTGGTGTACTCTGTCTGACCGTTGGACTGGGGGTGATGAGCCGATGCCAGGTGTACTTGAGTACCCAATAACGTGTGTAGGGCGCACCAGAACTGTGAGGCAAACTGGACCCCTTGATAGGAGATCAGGTGCTCAGATAAACTATGGAGTTGAACGATATGGTGCAAGTACAGCTGGGCAGTTTCATGGGTAGTCAGAAGCCCCAAGCAATGGATGAAGTGGGACATCTTAGTAAGGAGATCCACCATTATTGAAATGCTTGTATAGCCCATGGAGTCAGCGCATATTCAGAGACTATAAATCTTTGCAAAAGTAAACAATTCATAAAAATGGCGGGGAAGAGGATGGAGAAAGAGAAACTTCCAAAAGCGAAAGTAGTTGAGAGCCCACAACCGGAAGGAACCACCAAGTTGGCCAAAACGTTGGCAGAATCCCTGCCCCCCCTGCTGGATCAGATGAATAATCTCAAGGAACAGCTGTCAACAATGAACCAATGTATCACCACTCAGCAAAAGCAACTGAATGAGACTTTTAAAATTACAGAACAAACAGCTGAGAAGATGAAAGAAGTTGACGCCACTGCTCAAAAAGTGAAGAAAAAGGTACAAAAATTGGAAAAGAAGCAAGTTTCTACAGAAGAACAGCTTTTACAATTACAAATGGAGAAGTCAAACTTGGTCCTTCGTTTCCAAGGTGCCCCAGAGACTAAGGGTGAGAATCTGAAGCAAATGATGAGCAAAGCATCGGCCCCAGTGACAGATTTGAAGGCGGAATATTTGATAAGCGAGATGGATGTGGTCTATAGGTCATATTCCGTATATATAAAGAAAAATAATCTGCCTGGGGAAATAGTAATGAGATTCTCGAAGAGGCATGTGAGGGATTCTATCCTGAGAGCAACAGCGGGATCACCTTTGAAAATTGGGGACAATACTATCAGGATTCTGAAAGATATTCCATTTGAAATAAGACAAAGGAAAAAGAAGTTCAAAAATTTAATTCTTTTTCTTCAAACAAATGCCATCGTGTACAGGTGGCTAACTCCAGAGTGTGTAACCTTCAAACTTCAGGATAAAAAGGAAAAGATTGACTCTGTCTTTAAAGCATGGGAGTTTCTGAGAATCCAGTTGGGAGAGCCAGAGGAGGTGGAAAAATAGGGAAAGGACAGTAAGTCCAGTGGCAAGCTGGACTCGGGGTCTTCTGGAGAGGACTCTCTTTCTGAGACAGGGGTGGCGGCTCCTAAAACTCCTTATAAATTGCAGAAAAGACAGGATAAGAAAAAATGAAGGCTGAAGGACTCTGAATTGTGCCTTTGAAAATATTGTTCTTAATAATGAGATGCTCTGGGGGGTTTTATCAACAGGTCATAAAAATGTTAGCGTTTTAAGGGGTGGCTTTGTATTTAAGCAAATGTGATGATCTCCTCTCTTGGGTTTTTAGTCAGTAGTGGGTATCTTTTCTTTCTCCTTAATTGTAGTTCCCCTCCCTATTTTCGTTGTAGTTTGTAGCCCTTATATAAAATGCAATTAAAAATCTCCTTCAGGGGGCCAAAAAAAAAAACACCAGGAGAAAAACAGGGACCACCAAATCTGCCTCTAGTTCAATCGGCAGACAGTTCGTACGTGTTCAAGGTTACAGTGGTCCATACTAACTTGCACCGGGTGTTGGGCACCTTCCAGATGGTGCCACCAGACCTCAAAAACTGACTTATAGCCAGTAGCTCCCGCTCCCAGATGGTGTAGTTTTTCTTGGCGGCATTGAGTTGTCGTGAATACTAGGCACAAGGTTGTTCAGGTCCAGTGGGGGTTTCACACTGGAATAGCACGGCACTGATGGCAACACTGGAGGCATTGGTCTCAATCAAAAATGGTAGGCTTGGGTCTGGGTAACATAGCAATGGCTATGTGGGGATAAGGGGGCTTTGACCTCCTTTCTCCAAGGTCAGGGACAGAGGGTGGCACTTGTGGGGGGAGTTAGTGACACCTGCTGGAATGTGGCATGCCACAGGGGTTGATTCTCTCCTCAATGCTGTTTAATATCTACATGTGTCCCCTCACCCAGATTATCCGGTGGTATGGGCTGGGTTGTCACCAATATGCTGACGACACCAAGCTCTGTCTACTGATGGATGGCCACCAGGACTGTGCCCCAGAAAATCTGGACAGGGCATTACAAACCATGGTTACAACAGAGCAGACTGAAACTGAATCCATTGAAGATGGAGTACATAGATGGAATTGGTCTATATGGCATTGGTCCGATGCAGCAATTGGTCTAAATTCAGCAATTCAAGGTACATTTGGAGACAGGTTGCTAAATCTTTCAATTAAGAGATTATCCCTCATTTGAACAATTATGTCATAACTTTATAATTTTAACACAGCCCTCCGAGCTACACAGATTTGAAGCTAAACCTGGCCATATTTCTTCCCATTCTTAATCCACTAATAATTTATGAGCTAGTTGCTTGTATAAGGAGCCTTGTTCTTAAAGTCAATGTTCATCACTCCTTCTAATAACAAACTTGATGGCTGACTGCCTATAAGGAACACTGTAGAACTGAGCCACCCACAAACCACCACCTGGGTTTCTACATACATGGGGACTCCCCAGGTATAGAGAAAACAATACTTTCTTAAGGAAAAAAGGAAAAGACCTCTCTAACCCTACCCCTTTCAAAACAAAATAGATTGAGCATACTTATTTCTCTGCAAGTGTAATGGAATGTTGAAGGCAGCTGAGCATCTTTTAAAAAAATTAAGGAGTGGAGTAAAGGAGAATGAGAGAATTGGCCTGCATAAAAGTTTATAGGATATTCTGAATAAAATGAGTTTGACATTTTCAGCAATTCCTTGTAAGTCTACAGCATGCCTATTATGAAATGCCACAGACTTGTGTAAGGTTTTTCTTTTCATGGATTTACGATTAAATACTTTTGTTAGATTTCATACAGCTGCATCTTCCTTTTTTTACAACTGTTAACGTACACTGGGACAAAATTCATTTTTAATCATATTTGGTACAAACAGGGGTCTTGTTGTAGAAAAAGAGCTGCCGGAGCTCATTAGCATAACTCATTAGCATAACTTATTTGCATATGCCACGCCCCCTGACATCACCGGAAGTGACAGAAGGCCACACCCCCTGACATCACCGGAAGTGTGTCAGAAGGCCCGGCTACTTGCCCTCCTGCTTCATCCTCATTCCCAAACGGAATGAGGATCGAAGCAGAGGGCGGGGTAAAGAAGGGGGCGGGGCTTCACCACGTGACCGCCCCGCCCCCTAGAGGTTCTCTTCCGGAGCTCCGTACCTGAGAGCTCCCCCCCGACTAGAGCCCTGGGTACAAATGCATTTGTGAATCAGGCTATGATGAATCATGCTTCCTTTGGAAACCCCTGGGGAACAGCTCCAGTCTTACATCAACATAAATGAAATTTATACACAAGATAAATCTGTATATATCGTTTGCTTCCATAAAGTTATTCCTGTTGCTAAAACAACAACAGTAATAACATAACAAGGTAAATCTCAAGCTCTGTGAGGCTTCTGTGGGCTGTTGGGTCTCCCTCCTTCCCCAACTTTCAGTTGCTCTCAATATTCTTTCTTTTCTGGAACATATTTAATCCTCATCAAGCAAATTTTAGAGATTTCTCTTGTTTTGGTCGACAAACAAAGTCACATTTTCCTGTATTCTGGGGAGCTCCTGAGTAGGTAAGAGACCACTGCCTCCTTCATGGGAAATCTAGGCAGTTTACTGTTAGATGTAGTGACAGTTGAAAATGTAATGTCGACAATCCTTACAACAGCCCCCTAAGAGAAATCTGCATAGCCCCATATGCAGAAACTGGCATGTCTAAAGTCACTGGGTGATATTTTAGTCACAGGTTTGCTCAAGTGGTTAAGACGCTGAACTGCAGGCTGTGGAAGGTCGGTAGTTCAGCAGTTCGAGACCCGAGTGTACCGCATGATGGGAAGGAAGGTAACAGCGTTCTGTGTGCCTTGGTGTTTAGTCATGCCGGCCACATGACCACGGAAATGTCTTCGGACAGCGCTGGCTCTTCGGCTTTGAAACGGAGATGAGCCCCGCAACCCTAGACTGGCTTTCGAGCAAGGGAACCTTTACCTTTTACCTTAATATGGGTAGACTGCCCATAAATTCTCTCTCAGCCTAACGTACTAACAGCGCTGTTTTGGGGCTAAAAGGGAGAACTACGGCACGCTCCTCGAAGCAAGGACACGATAAAAACACAGCAAAAATAATCGGAAAGTAGTCTCTTTTCAACTGATATAAATATATGCGTTAGTGTCGATAACTGAAGGTAATAAATTTACGGCTGGTCTGCGGCACCTTTCCCTCGATGCCCTGGTCTGATCGTAAATCTGCACAGCCTTTGCTCCCCCTCCCTCCTCGCCCCACCTCCTCCATGCGTTTGATAAACACCACATCGTGCACGTCCAGAGCGGTCTGGTGGGTTCTCTATCAGGAACACGTCACGCCACTCCCTCCCTTCCCAAGGATTACTTCACTAACGAACTCTAAACACCTCCCTCCGCTAAAGGATCTGACTCAGCCCCGCTGGCCCAACGGACTCCGCAGAGAGTGTAAACAAACCCTGCGGGCTTTTATCCTCCGGCCTCTCCCTACCACTCATTCAGGCAGCTCCAGGCGGAGGCTCGCTCAGAAAAGGCTCCTTGCGCTTTCTTGCCCCATTGGAGCACTCCCATTGGTTGGAAGACAAGCCCCTCCCCAGATCCATCCACCCACAGACCTAAGGAACAAGAGCCTCAATCGACTGTCTTCCACCGCTTCCTCCTTCGCTACTCACGGCCAATCATGAGCCGGAGGTGGTCATCTGTTGCCCAATCGGCGAGGGCAGTCTGGCGTCCTCCGGAGGAACGCCCAGCATCTGTGATGCCGTCGCTCAAGGGCAGCGCCACTGGCTGTGACTGGCTCCGCCCCCCCCGTCTGCCCGCCCCCGTGAGTGTGTGAGTGTTAGGGCGGGGGAGGGAGGTCGTCTCTTGTCTGTGCCTGTCGATCTGTTTACTCCTCGCGCTCGGTCCCCCGGCGGCGCCGAGTGGGTGGCGGTAGGCTGGGCCGGCGGCACGGATCGGGACCCCGGGTGGTCGTCGTCGTCCCCCCTCCGCGCAGATACGCGCCCCTCCCCCGCAACATCACAATCGCCCCTCGCACCCTCCCGTAGCCGGAGCGGCTGCCAGCCTTCGCCCTTCCCGACCGCAGCGAGGGGAGCGAGAGAGCGAGCGAGGAGAGTCGACGGAGAGAGCAACTTGGGAAGGGCCAACATGAAGACGGAGATCTCCACGGCTGCGGGCTTCATCACCCGCCTCCTCCGGACACCCGGCGGCATCGGCGACGAGGAGCTGAGCTGCTTCAGCGACTCTTTACAGGAGTCGCTGCGAGGTGAGGCGGAGGGAGGGA